TAACCGAGTCTCGGAGCGCTCCCTGGAGGTCAATTTGTGCATACTAATTTCTAAACCAAAATTTGAAATAAATTCCCGCCTTTTTATGTGTTTTTTTTTTTTTTTTAAATCTGGAGGGCTTTTTGAACCGTTTGTTTTTCTTGTTTGTGTTATTCTTTTCCAGTCACAGGCCATCTTTTGGAGGGGGACCTTAAAATGAGCATTTAAAAAGACGCCATTAGAAGGTTATCTTAGACAAACATTTTAAAATTCTGGTTTTTAAGAGCTTGGGTTTTTGGATTTTTTTGGTCAGTTTTGTAGGAGGAAAGCAAAGACTTAGGCTGATTGAGACACGTTTATTTCATGACATTCTGGTATGTCAGTGTCACAGTTTGGAATATCTCAGATTGGCTCCAGCAAATGGATATTTTGTTTGAGAACAGTTTGGGGGTTTTGTTCGGTGGGTTTCTATAGGTGGTTTTGCTGGTAAGAATCTATCTAGCCGAAACCGGTTTGGCTCAGTGGATAGAGCATCGGCCTGTGGACTGAAAGGTCCCAGGTTCGATTCCGGTCAAGGGCATGTACCTGAGTTGCGGGCACATCCCCAGTAGGAGATGTGCAAGAGGCAGCTGATCGATGTTTCTCTCTCATTGATGTTTCTAACTCTCTATCGCTCTCCCTTCCTCTCTGTAAAAAATCAATAAAATATATTTAAAAAAAAAAAAAGAATCTATCTTGTTACCAGACTTCAAATCCTAATAGAATGTAGTTCAAAGTAGTGATTGATGTAAGGGACAGTGCTTTGTAAGACTTAGAATATTGAGCTTGGAGCTGTTACTACTAATTATTGGTATAATTCAGAAGTACTTCTTTTGAAGTTATGTTGTTTAACTTCAGTTTTAAAAGATCGATCTCATGTGCTTTCTGGACTACCCAATAGAAATGAAAGGAAGATGTAATAGATACATGTACATTTAATTGAAAATCTTAGCCTGGGCTTTCAAGAATTGAAAATCTTATAACTTAAGCAGTGCCTGGAAAATAGTAGTGCTAGGTCTGTATTTGTTCAATAAATAAACGACTGCTGGGCCAGAATGGCTCAGTGGTTGAGCGATGACCTATGAACCAGGAGGTCACGTTGGATTCCTGGTCAGGGCACATGCCCGGGTTGCTGATGGGGTTGCAAATGGGGTTGCAGATGGATCGGTACCAGAGGCAGCCAGTCAATGACTCTCATCATTGAGTCTCAGTCTGTCTGTCTCTCTCCCTTTCCCTTCCTCTCTGAAATAAATATATATATTTAAAAAAATAAATAAGCCAAAAAAGACTGACCTTATTGTTTCTGATGTCTTCTTTTGTGGATTTGAAGAAAACCACTTGACTCTTCCATTAAAAAAAACCAGAAATTTACATTTGAAGTAAAGCATATCACTTACCTGTTTTTCTCCAGTCGCTCTGAAAAAGAAAGTAACGCTCAAACTATTTCAGTAAAGATTTGGCTGAAAATGAAATGTTTTCCATTTAAATGAGCGCACTTAAAAAAAAAAAAACAGGTCTTCTATAGAACCCTATCCTGGTATGCAAACATTCCTTTTTTTTTTTTTTTTAAATTTTATTTCTTTCAGAGAGGAAGGGAGAGAGAGCTAGACATGTCAAGGATGAGAGAAAAGTCATAGATTGGCTGCCTCCTGCACCCCCGCTACTGGGGATCTAGCCTGCAACCGGCACGTGCCCTTGACTGGAATCGAACCCAGGACACTTCAGTCTGCTGGCTGACACTATCCATTGAGCCAAACCGGCCAAGGCCAAACATTCTTTTTTGTTAATTCTTAACCGAGGGCCAAACATTCTTTTTTGTTGTTAATTCTCAACGGCGGATATTTTGTTGATTTTTAGAGAATTAAAGGGAGGGAGTCTGGAAAAGAGTTGGGGGTTAGCAGCATCGGGGTGAGGTCGTCAGAGGGACATATTGTTTGCCTCCTGCAAGAGCCCATACAACCTGCAAACCAGGTATATGCCCATGTCCAGGAATCAAACTTGAGACCCTTATGTCCACGGGCTGATGCTCTTAACTACTGAGCAACACTGGCCGGGGCACAAACATTCTTTTTTAAAAAATTATATTTTATTTATTTTTTACAGAGAGGAAGGGAGAGGGATAGAGAGTTAGAAACATCAATGAGAGAGAAACATCGATCAGCTGCCTCCTGCACAGTCCCGACTGGGGATGTGCCCGCAGCCAAGGTACATGCCCTTGACCGGAATCAAACCTGGGACCCTTCAGTCCGCAGGCCAACGCTCTATCCACTGAGCCAAAGCAGCTAGGGTGAGCATAATATTCTTGAATGATCTTGCTCTGGTCAGGATTACGAATTCTTACCAGGAAATATTTGAAGACATGAAACAAAACATTAAAAAGTATGCTATGTGCCCTGGCCAGTTTGGCGCAGTGGATAGAGCATCAGCTCTCTGACTGAAGCATCCCATATTCGATTCCAGTCAAGGTTATGTATCTCTGTTGCAGGCTCAAATCCCCCAGGTGGGAGGCAATGATGTTTCTCTCTCTCTGTCTCTTCTCCTCCTTTCCACTCTCTAAAAATCTATGGGGAAAAACCCACCGGTGAGGATTAACAACAAAAGTATGCTAATGGTAGTACATATTAATTAAATCATAAATTCGCCATCAGACTCTACAATAAGGTGTTAAGTGTACAGGCTTCTGGGTTATAGATTTAAATTCTAGGTCAGCTGCTTATTTAGATGACTTTTAATGAACATTGGCCATTAGATACTCAGTTTTCATTTGGAAAATAGAAATAATCTAATAGCTACTTAATTAGGTTAAGGCTTACAGTAGGTTGCATTTCTGAAAGTATCTAGTGCTCAGCAATTTATACTACTACTACTACTACTACTACTACTACTACTAGAGACCCAGTGCATGGATTCGTACACTGGTGGGGTCCCTCGGCCTGGCCTGTGGGGGATCAGGCCAAAACCGGCTGACATCCCCTGGAGGGTCCTGGATTGGAAGAGGGCGCAGGCCAGGCTGAGGGACCCCACCGGTGCATGATTGGGGCCGGGGAGGGACCACGGGAGGGTTCCAGGGCATGTCCGGCTTGTCTCCCCCAGCCCTAATTGGCTGGACTCCAGCAGCAAGCTAACCTACCTGTCGGAGCATCTGCCCCTGGTTGTCAGTGCGCATCATAGTGACTGGTCGAGCGAACGGTTGGACACTTTGCATATTAGGCTTTTATTATATAGGATAATGTGATTTCTACATTTTTTTGTTTCTATTTAATGCCAGAACAATACAGTGTTACCATAATACATTTTTCAGAAGTGGGTGTGAAAGTGATGTATACATAGTCTATTCAAGTGTTACTATACAGCATATTATGCAGAATGCCTGAGTTACCCATGCAAAAGTGTACTTAAGTTTTCTCTGGTAAAATGGGAATATTAGTATCCATCTCATAGGATTTTTTTTTTAAAAATATCTTTATTGATTTCAGAGAGGAAGGAAGAGGTAGAGATAGAAACATCAATGATGAGAGAGGATCATTGATTGGCTGCCTCCTGCACGCCCCCACCAGGGATCCAGTCCGAAACCCGGGCATGTACCCTTGGCCAGAGTCGAATCTGGGACCCTTCAGTCTGCGGGCCGACGTTTCATCCACTGAGCCAAACTGGCTAGGGCTCATAGGATTTTTATTGTTCATTAATTTTGTACATACAAGGTACTTAGAAAACAGCTTGGTATATAAGTATTCACTAAAATCTGTTTCATATCAATAATTATTATACTTCAGCATCTTTACTAATGGTAGTGATATTTTTTTTAAAACATTTTATTGATTTTTTACAGAGAGGAAGTGAGAGGGATAGAGAGTTAGAAACATCGATGAGAGAGAAACATCGATTCAGCTGCCTGTACCGCAACCAAGGTACATGCCCTTGACCGGAATCGAACCTGGGACCCTTGAGTCTGCAGGCCGACGCTCCATCCACTGAGCCAAACCGGTCAGGGCACTAATGGTAGTGATTTTAAAATAAGTAACTCTTAGGTGATACTATACAACTGTTGGATTTTATTTTATTATTTTATTGATTTCAGAGAGGAAGGGAGATAGAAACATCAGTGATGAGAGAGAATCATTGATTGGTTGCCTCCTGCACGCCCCCTACTGGGGATTGAGCCTGCAACCTGGGCATGTGCCCTTAACCAGAATCGACCCCCTCAGTCCGCAGGCGGACGCTCTATCAACTGAGCCAAACCGGCTAGGGCTTATTTTATTATTTAAAAAAAATATATTAAATTGATTGGGGTGACATTGGTCAACATGAACATACAGGTTTCAGGTATGGGTTTCTATGTTAGAAGATCTGTGTATTACACTCTGTGCCCACTACCCAAAATCACATCTCCTGTCACCTTATATTAGGACACCCTTCTCCTCCCATCCCAACTGTTGGATTTTAAAGTTGAAAAGGATATTAGAGATCACCTGGTAGTTGGGAAGAAACTGGAGAACAGTGTCTGGCACTTACTAGGTACCGAGTATTTTTGACTGAATGAAACTAAGAGATTAACATGATTTAATTAAAAGTAACAAAGCTTTCTGAAGACAGGAATCAGTACAACTAATGGTTTCTTCCTCACTGAAACTGCTGGCTTGATAATTATGTAAACCACACTACCTATCTACCAATTTTTATTCTTATTAAAGTTGACATTTCATAAAATGACATTACTTTTCTGAAATTTTCCTACAAATTAAAAATAAAAATCAAGCCCGGACCGGTTTGGCTCAGAGGATAGAGCGTCGGCCTGCGGACTCAAGGGTCTCAGGTTCGACTCTGGTCAAGGGCATGTACCTTGGTTGCGGGCACATACCCAGTAGGGAGTGTGCAGGAGGCAGCTGATCGATGTTTCTCTCTCATTGATGTTTCTAACTCTCTATCCCTCTTCCTCTCTGAAAAAAAAAAAAAAATCTTAAAAATAAATAAATAAAAATCAAGCAGCCTGTTATGAACCCCTGCTCAATTTAACTTACCTTATTTTAATGTATTTAATGTATCTGATACTTCTTTGTACAGCTGTCGTTTTTTCATTATTTTAAGAAAATATGAGGGAGTTGGTTTCCTGCTTCAATTTGATAAGCCTTTATTTTTTTTAACAAATGCAATTTTGGGGGGCGGGAGCAGGTGGAAAGAGTTCAATGTGGGGGGAGACATATGTAACATTTGCAACAATAAAGATTTTTTTTAATGGATTTTTAAAAATATGCGACTTTTTTTTCTCCCCAGGTGACACTTTCATACATTCAACAAAATATCAAGTGCCTGTTCCTGTGTCTGGCACTTTTTCTTTTTCTTTTTTTTCTAATGTATTTTTAGTGATTTCAAAGAGGAAGGGAGTGGGGGGAGAGAGAAAGAGAGAGAAACATCAAGGATGAGAGAGGATCATTGATCAACTGCCTCCTGCACTCTCCCTACTGAGGATTGAGACCACAACCCAGGATGTGTCTTTGACCAGAATCAAACCTGGGGTCATTCAGTCCACTCTATCCACTGACCCAAACTGGCTAGGGCTCAGGCACTCTTTATTTTAGATATTTGGGAGAAAAATATAACAAGACTCTTGCTTTCTGCTATGTTAATAAATGCTGCATCCCAAAATCACCTGATACTCATTGAAATACAGATTCTCAGGCCCAAGATTAGGACTCATACTGGGGTAAGACTTTTAAAAATATATTTTTATTTATTACAGAGAGTGAGAGAGAGATAGAGACATCATTGATGAGAAAGAACCATTGATTGGCTGCCTCTTGCATGCCCCACACTGCAGATTGAGCCCGTAAAACATCCTGGATGTTTTGTTGATAGTAGAGTTTGAACATTCTTATGGTGGGAGGGATTATCTACAAGTAATCTGTACCTGATTGTTTTTCTTTAAGGTATTTATATTATACAGTGGAGTTTTTCTTTCTAGTCTATCCACACATTTTGGAAAATTCAAGTAGATCATCAACACGGGATTAGGTCTGTTTGATTAAAAGTCTTTTATCTAAAGAGACTTCAGGGCTTTGATAGATAGAACTCTGAGGCTCTAGGCAACTATTATGATACCAAGGTGTGGGTTGCTTTAAGATAAGTGCAGTACGTACAGGGGTGGGCAACAGTAGGTTTAAAATTGTAATACAAATAATTCAATAAGTAATAAATAATACAAGAATAAACTTTCGCATACTCACAACTATAAACCTACTGTTGCCCACCCTTGTATATTAAAGCTTTCTGAAAGTACCCTCACTAACTTATCGCAGCCAGGTTTTTATTATTTACCTTAAATTGATATCATTGCTCTTATTAGCAGCTCTCTTTAAATAATGTCTTATAATCTTATCTTCAGATTTTTATTTGATTAAAGTATTCAAGTTTTTATTTGGTTAAAAAAGCAGAAATTCTAATCCATGGCCAAATAATGTGATCCTTCCCACCCCCACCCCCCACATCATTGGAAAGTAAACAGTTTATACACTTTATGATTTTTGCCCTTTTGCATAAAATATTTCATGTGTTAACTGTTCTGCTTAAATATCAGGGCCTACAGTGACTTTGACATTTGTGGCCATTTAAATAGCCATTGGAAGTTTACATAGTTTTCCCAGTAGATACTGCCATCCTTAAATTATTCCTAAAAATTCTTTTGTAATTTCTCTCAAACCTTGTTCCATGTTCTTTCAACTATAGTAGTGTTCCCCTTATCCATGGTTTCAGTTACCCTTGGTTACCCTTGATTAGCCAGTCTAAAAATATTACATGAAAATTCTAGAAATAAACAGTTCACACAGAAGTTTTAAATTTTGCACGGTTTTGAGTAGCATACTGACTGAAATCTTGCAGTATTTAGCTCTGTCCCACCCAGGACAGGAATCATCCCTTTGTCCAATGTATCCACACTATCTACACTAATAAAAGAGAAACATGGTAATTGGCGTATGACCGCTACCCTTCCCATTGGCTAATCAGCGAGATATGCAAATTAACTGGCAGCCAAGATGGCGGCCAGCAGCCAGGCAGCTGATGCGAACAGGGAGGCTTGTTTGCTTCAGTGATGGAGGACTCCAACGTTCCCCGCCTGACTTGCCGGCCTCTCAGCTGCAACTCTAAGTAACTATATGGGCTTCAGCCAGCCGGACCGCAACATTGTATCAAATACAGATGGTAAACAAAGGCCAGAAACCTGTTTTCAGCAGCCGAGGCCTCAGAGCTAAAGCTGGCCCAGAATTAAAAAAA